AGGCAAGATTATTTTAAATTATTATCCTATTAACATACATCATACCATTATAAGCTTGTTTAAATAAATAGCATATGAATTTAAGTTTGTATAAATAAATTAAACAATTAGCATGATCGAAACAAAGATTAAAAGATGTATTCTTTAAATGTTCAATTAAAAGAATATATTACATGCATGAATATAACAGGCTAGATGAAAGTTAAACTTAACTAAATAAATAAAGTTTTTAATATACTTTTTAACAATTAATCTAGTTTTTATAAAGAGTTATAAACTAAATAAAAATTAATTCACTAAAACCTTAAGATTGTAATTTAAAATATACTTGTTGATGGGACAAGTGGATATATTTGTTTAATATGAACAATAATAAACTTGCAATCACAACAAAGGCTAACATATATATTAAAAAAATATATATAAACTTGTATAAAAAATTAAAAGACAGATATACATGCTAAACATATATGGAGTTTATACTTAAATAAAAACAATTTAGGGCATTTACTTGTTAAAGTTCATAAAGTATAATCAAAATGAATTTTTTTTAATCAAAGATTAATCATTTATCCTAACATCTTTATTGCTCACCATCTAGTTTAAAATAAATAACTTTAATAAACCTTTCAAGATTTCAATACTATCACTTTGTTTAAGTACACTCCTAAAAAGGTCCAACAATCTAAAATATAATTCTAAATTTACTTAGGTACTCTACTCTCTAAAAATTAACTCTTTATCTTCCTACTAAATAAACAAAAAAAAATATTGTTTTTTTTATACAGGATTCGGTTTTAGAGAGTTCGTGGTTTTTTCAAAAACATATGAACTAAATGTTTTTTGAGAACGATTTCTTATTCATCGATAATTTGTTTAAATTATGTTAATATTTATATTAAAAAGTTTATATTAAAGATTAAAATCTAATAAAGTTTTAACCTCAGTAGTAAAATGACCATAGATTTAAAATATCAAATGTATTCATCAATTATGTTTTAACAGAAATTTCAAACAAAGATCCAGGCTAATATTTTAGATTTAATTAATACCATAAATCATGTTACTAATTTTACAAGTAATAAAAAAATATAAATTTAACTTTTGACTATCTCTTGAAAGAATTATATTATAATGTTGAGTATTGTAGTAACAATTATTTTTAAAAAAATTATTTTTGATAATAATTTATATTAATATATTAAAATGATAAAAAAATTATTTTAAACAATTCTTTCTTTAAATATTTGCCAAACAATGTTTGTTACCATGTTCTCCAATAATATCTTAATGTGACACGAATACATTTACACACTTGATCAAGTAAGCTCCAATAAGATAATGGTGTGCACGCATTTGTGTCGTCAAATTTGTATGACAATCATCGTTCCCTTTATGAAATCTATGAATTTTCCTCAACCTTTTACAAAACATAAAGAACTCAACATCATGAATCTCAAATGTGACCATAAACAGTTTCTTGAAACATGTAAACGTGGCAACTTAGTTAAGAGCATAATTGAGCAAAGTACATCCTTAAAAGAAACAACAAAACAAAAGCTTCGTAACACCAGCACGAGAGGGCAATGGACCACAGGTTGGTCATGTCTCTGACAGGCTCTTTGATGGACAATCTGCACAAATTTTTCTTCACCTGTGGGCCTGTGGCTCAGTCCTAAATGGGTCTAGATCGGTGAGATATGCCGAGGCACCAAAAAGCAGCCACCCGTGTTGATTTTCCTCGTCCTAGGGTCCTAACTAGGCTCGGCACCAAAGGTGTCTTGCGTGTCACACTGTCCCAGGAACCGCATGGTTAAAAGCTTTAGCTGAATGCTCTTCCAACCTTGCTCCGAGAGAAGGATTTTAGGCATCATTACCCTACTGATTTTATTCCTACGTTTCTGTCATAGCATCTCTAGGTTTAAAAGAAACTTGCCGGTAAGAATTCGTTTTCTTGTATTTAAATCAATTATTTTACCGTCAATTATAGAATCAAAATAATATGTGATAGTAGTGATGTTTTTATAAATTTTATCAAGTTAATTTTAAAAATAAAAAATAAGAGAAGAAATTAATATAATTTACATCTTCGTAACAGTTATATCTTTATATACAAGTAGAGAAAATAATTATTTTTTTAATATTTTTTATAAATATTTAGATTAGACTTGTTTTTCAACAACATATCAGGTCTAACCTAACAACTAATAATATCTTAAATGATTTATTTTTTTAATACAAGACGAGGTTAGAATTCGAAAATGCTTGAGGAAGAGATACATGAATGCAAGATGGTTTTCTTGTATTTAAATCAATTATTTTACTGTCAATTATAGAATCAAAATAATATGATGTTTTTATAAATTTTATCAAATTAATTTTAAAAATAAAAAATAAGAGAAGAAATTAATATAATTTACATCTTCATAAAAGTTATATCTTTATATACAAGTAGAAAAAATAATTATTTTTTTAATATTTTTTTATAAATATTTAGATTAGACTTGTTTTTTAACAATATATCAGGTCTAATCTAATAACTAATAATATTTTAAATGATTTATTTTTTTAATATAAAAAGAGGTTAGAATTCAAAAATGCTCGAGGAAGAGATACATGAATGCAAGATCAACTATAAGATTATTGGCTCCAGCGAGTTGGGTAAAAGAAAGGTAATGCCTTTCAATTCTAGTCATAGAGCCTCTGCAAAATTTAAACTGCTGGCCTGGCATAGCACACATCTACTCCCAGGATATGTAGAGCATGGCGAGACAAATCGCAAATATTAGGGAAGTGAAGGTGGCCTTGATACCAGAAATGTCAACAACGAGCAAATAGTAGATGTAGAATCAGTACTCTTTCACACTAACAAGTAGAGGATCCAACAAAAATCTTGGCAAGAAAGAGAGAAAAGCTTTCAAAATGGTTTGATAATTTGGATCATGCAAATAGTGTTCTAACGTGAGAAGTTTTACTTTGTAGGCCTAATTGTGCAAAAATGCCTCTAGCTTGTCATTATCTTCTTGTTTTTTTGTTGACTTTGCGAGACCTTCATGATTAAAAAAAAGTGTGCAGAGGTAAATCAGAGTATTTTTTATTTAAAAATATATTAAAATAATATATATTTTTTATTCTTTAAAATTTATTTTTGATGTTATCATATCAAAATAATTTAAAAATATAATAAAATCACAATACCAAATATAACCTAAATCGCATAGAAGATAGAATAGATGCAGGGGACTAGCCATTGTTCAAAATAATTTTGAAATAAACAGCCCCTTCCTGTTTTCAGATTAGGCGATGCAAGCTTTAACTCAGGGAATAGTATTTTTTTGTTTTGGGTAAACAAAAGTAAGAAAACGGAGAGTTAAAAGGGACAGAACTGCTTCAACCATACCAATCATCTCATGTTACTGATGAAAATGATCGTAGCTAATAAGTCAAAGTCTGCACACCGATTTACTTCTTAAAAAGGAGGTGCCTTTTCACTAATGGTCATCCGAGATTACACAGCTATTGGATTATCATGGCGCCACCTTATCATTTTAGGAAAATACTGCTTAACCACAATGTGTTGTGAGTTTTTTTTTTTTTAAAAAAAACTCAATCTTCATGTCTTTGTTAATTCTATTTTCTAGTTTCACTTATAAGTAGAGAAATCAGTGAAAATTCTAACTTTGATAAGAATTATATTTAATTATTTTTTAAAATATTTTTTATTTAAAAAAATATATTAATAATTTTTTTATTTTTTAAAAATTATTTTTAAGATTAGCATATCAAAATAATTTTAAAACATAAAAAATATATTAATTTAAAATAAAAAAATTTTCAATTTTTTTAAAACATCTTTAAATACAATGTTAAACACGATTGAGTTAACCATGGTTGAGCTTTGACCACTCTATAATATTTTACAATATAATTTTTAAAATATTTTTAATAAAAATATAATAAAATTAATACTTGTTAATATTTTTTAAATATCAACATTAAACTATAAAAAAATAAAAAATATTAATTTAATATATTTTAAAATAAAAATATTTTTAAAAATATACACTATTATATAACTTTTCTCGTGAGTCCATTCATATCCTGTTCTTTAACCCTTAGAGTTGTATTAAAAAAGGTTAAACATGTGTTTAATATCATGGTGCAAGAAGCTTTTTAAAATATATTTTAATAAAAATAATACTTTTTTAGTTTTTTAATTTAAGTATATCTAAATTATAAAAAAGTATTATAAAAAATTATTTCAAGATTCTTTTAATAAAAAATTATTTCAAAAACATCCATTCCACCTCAACCTAAGGTGGCTAGAGAACAGGGGCAAAGGACAAAAAATTAACAGGGGAAAACCAGAGCCCAGAAATAAGGTTAGAAAACTTCAGTCAGACACTGAACACAAAACTAGAAACATGAGGAGATGCAACCAACACCTGTAGCTACAAGTCACGGTAGGACAGGAGAGAAGCACGCAAACAGAGACCAAACTTCACTCAAACTAAAACAGCAGACCAGGCTAGATGAGTGAAACAGAGAAGAACCCAAGGTTAGGAACTTGAAGCGAAACATGGAAAGAAAAGATAAAGGTGTGGACGTGGAGAGACAAGGGAAAGGCGAAAAGAAAGAAGGAGAAATATCGATGGGTAAAAGAGAGTCGAAAGGAGGGATGCTAATGCAGGTCGGGAAAAGAGGAGGCCCATCTACTCCATCACCCACTTGGAGACTTGAGTTCTCTTCTTCTCCAAATGATAGCAACAACAACCCCATTCAAGAATTTCTAAACACCACCACTGCTGTCTCTGCTAGAAAGCTCTGTGCCAATTTTTGGGAGATTCAGCCCCAAGTTCACCATTCTGTGCCTAAAATGAACAAGAATCCTGGTCATAGAAGAGCACACCCTAGCCACCAGTATAAAGACAAGAAGGCCTTTGGGCCACGTACTCATTTAGTTGATCCTCTTAATAGCCCCCCCGATCAGGTTTAACTATCTCTTAGCATTTCTTTATCGTTTATAATTTTGATGGAGTTTATGACTAGATAGGGAAAAAATGGGGTTTTCGATTATAATCTTGTTTTGTGATTGGCTGGTTCTCGAGCTGTATTTTTCTTTTTTTGTCATTACCGGCTTCAATTGATTTTTGTTGGCTTCTTCTTGTTTGGTGGCTGGGGGGTTTTGCTTGCCTGTCTTGTGCTTTGCTTGGTCTGTTGATCTTTTAGTTGTATATATTTTGACATTTTAGCTGAGAGGAACTGTCAATTAATGCAGAAAGTTTTATCCTTTTCTTAGAATTATTTAGAGGCTGATGGTTTGGGAGCTTATTTTTTTAATTTATTTTTTTGTTGCCTTTGTTACTTGCAGAATGCCTTTTCTAATAACATATTTTAATTGCTTTATCTCATGGTTTCTACTCTTGTGCTGGTGGTCCATAGGCAGCTTTGTTCCATGCATGCTCTTGTTTTGCAGTTCATGTTTGAGTTGAAAGGTTTCTTCTTTGTGGTCTTCAGTTTCCTAAATTCATCTTCTGGACTCCAAATCGAGTTTCTGTAGTTTCAACATTTACTTATAGGTAATCAATTACAATAATAATAATAAAAAACATGCATCCTCCTAATTTTACCTGGATTTTCTCCAGATTATTTAATGATTGTTGATGTCCTGGTGGTTTTCTTTATTATTATTTTTTTTTTCCTTTTGTTGGTTATGCTATCAGTTGTTGCCTAGAACCAGATCTCGTTCTTCATTGAGTACAAAATTGCTGGCTACCTGCTTTGGTAGTCTTAATATAAGGGGTGCCCATTAGCAACGATCTGTTCCGTTGTCATGTGGCTGGAAGTGAAGTGTCTACCTTCTTCTTGTGACATAACAAATGTTCAAGTAATAAGCAATCTCTGTTTCTTGTTTTGGTAGAACAACCTCATTAAATGTACTTTACCATTGATGCTCTTGGTTTGGTTTCTTGGAGTTGAAATCCCTACGTCCACTGGATGAGCAAGAATACATTGGAGTTCCTGTTTAACTTAGGAATTGTAATCATTATGTAGTGGACTATTTCTTTCTTTCAGGAAGCTAGGCATTTGCACACTGTAAACTGATCCTTACTCTAATGATAAAGTAGCTTTGAGTATTATTATTTTCACAAAGTAACTAATCCTAGCTAATATTTCCAGCCAGCAAGGGCAAGTCGCTTGAGGAAACAGGCCGCATCATTGATGCAACACCATCGACCAACTGGAAGAGATGGTAATGCTCTAAAGCCTACTATATCACCTGCAAGTTGTGATAGCTCAATGGAGGTAAATAAATGTTCTCCTCCCTATATCCCTCAGCAATTTTTGTTTTGATTTTGTGCATATAGGAAATTATAAAAGAAAACAGAACAGAACAGAGGCAATTAGGTGTCCCATGACTTTTTGCAATATCAGCAATCCATGGAAGTTCAAAGGTAACTTATAGTACATAGTTTCCCTCTTTACTTATCATGGAGTAACAGTGGGAATCTTGATTTGGAAATTGTCTCTTGTGCTAGATATAGACTTAGGAGATGAACTTGGATGCCTCTAGTGATAGTCCCTTGGCAATCATCAGTTAGACGACTATGATATTGATACATAAAAAGCACAGTTTTAAGTAAAACTTAAACGGACCCAATTATGTAATTCCTGTATTTTGAAAATTTGGTCTCCAGAGAAGTTTCATGTGCAACAAAAAGGATCTGATTATCATTCATGCTCAGATAAAACTTGAGACTACAAACTGCTTTTTTTGTCGTGTCAATTCATAAACAGAAGAAAGTCAAGGACCCAAACTAAAGTTGTCATATTAAAGTGGAAAATGATGAACTAGGCGTTTTATCATGTTAATGGTTCTCATTTAAGTTAGCATGCTGCTGATAAGGACACTGTGAATGTTATATTAGCTGATCTCCTCAAGAAGTTCCTTATCATAACTGTTTCTTTTATTGTCATTGTGATTCCCCAAATTATCTGTTTGTTTTCTCTTTGTATTTCTTCTACAAATTCAGGAGTGGCTCTTTTCCGCAGGTGGCACCTTATAATCCTGCAGTTACCCCTAGTAGTTCTTCAGATTTTAAGGGCAGGATGGGAGAGTCAAGTTATAGTCTTAAGACATCAACAGAATTGCTCAAGGTGCTGAATCGGATCTGGAGCCTTGAAGAGCAGCAAGCATGCAATATGTCGTTGTTAAGAGCGTTAAAAATGGAACTGGATGATTCTCAGTCACAAATAAAAGAGCTGCTCAAGGAGAAGCAAGCAGATAGGCAAGAAATGGACATCTTAATGAAACAACTTGCAGAAGATAAAGTTGTCAGGAAGAACAAGGAGCAAGACCGAATCAAATATGCTGTTCAGTCAGTGCAAGAAGAACTGGAAGATGAAAAGAAGTTGAGGAAGCACTCAGAGAGCCTCCACCGGAAGCTGGCCCGAGAGCTTTCTGAGGTAAAATACTCTTTCTCTAATGCTTTAAAAGAGCTCGAGAGAGAAAGGAAAGCCTGTTTTTTGTTGGAAAATTTGTGTGATGAGTTTGCCCAGGGAATAAGAGATTATGAGCAAGAGGTGCGGTCCCTTAGGCACAAATCTGACATGGATAGTGTAGATAGGGAAAAACCTGACCGGTTGGTTCTCCATATTTCAGAAGCATGGCTTGATGAACGGATGCAAATGAAACTAGCAGAAGCTGAAAGTGATCCTGTTGGAAAGAATACAATTGTTGATAAATTAGGTCTGGATATTGAAACCTTTCTTCAAGCTAGACTCTCCAATGAATTGAAGAAAGACAGTAGCTTTGCAAAGGAGGGAATAAAGAATTGCTCACGGCGGGAATCATTTCCATTGAATGACAATGCAAGCGCACCTCAAGCTGCAGCTGATGAAGATTCTACCGACAGTGATTCACATTGTTTTGAACCAAACAAGGGTGCAAGCAAAAGACAAACCACATGCAACTCCAAACAAGAAGTAGATAATGCTTCAGAAATTCGTCTTGAGAAGATATTGTTCTCAAATTCTAAGAAGAGAATGGCTGGATCGGGGGAAAACACTAAGGTTCATAACCAAGTCAATTTCCAGGTGCAGTTTGAAGAACACGTGGCTGGAAGCAAAAACCGATTTCCAGATAGAGGGCAGAATGAATTTAGAGTAGAGAGCCAGGGTTTATCCAGTATCTGTGAAACTAAACAAGATGGTCAACACGAAAGGAAAAGTAAACAGATGGGGGCCCATGGATTGAACTCTAATTATATGATAGATACCCTAACAAGACATCACTCCTTGTCATCTGAGGGTGATAAAACTCATCCCGTCAGAGATTTCAAGGAAGATGCTTGTGCTCAGCCTGTATTTGTAGGTCATGCTAGTCCAGTACAACAATGGATGTCAAAGTTGAAATCCCCTGAATTTGAGAAGTCTGAGTCTTCCTTAAAAGTGACCAGGGTCTTGAAGGAAAATACACTGAAGGCGAAGCTACTTGAAGCAAGATTGGAGGGCCAGAAATCTTGCTTTAAGAGCTTCTAAAGCTATCATTTAGGTTGATAGGGGAAGGTGGATAAGCCTGGAGGAAGAATCTTCTCCATTAGAAACTTCTGCACGAAAGTGGTGTCCAAGATCTTCCGTGTTGCCTATTTTATTTCCTTCCAGTTGTAAATTTTGGAACTATATTTGTAGATGGGAAGTGTACGTGTTCTGGGGTGATCACAGAATTTAACCCTACGTAAACCTGAAAGCCGTCCCTAAAGCTTATATGGCCAATTTTTTTTTCGAATTACAACATTTTTTCGGCATTTTGATCCCGAGTAGAGTAGGGGGTTCGCACTCGAGCGCGCGAGCTCATGCGGCCTTTTTAAGTATTCCTACTAAAAAAACGGGGTTTTACCGGATTTAAGTCTTTTTTCTTATTTAAAATTATTTTTTATAATTTATTTTAGTTTATTTTCATGAGTTTATTTCAATTTAAATAAAAATAATTAAAAAAATAAAATTAAACTAATGGAACCCTAAAATTTTAGCCAATATAATATGAATTTTGGCCAGTATAATATATTACTGTTGTCATATTAAAAATAAATATCATTTTGAAATCTTTTTAAGTTATATCATGCTTATTATATGTTAGGTAGGTAATTTTACGCAGGTTAATTTTAAATACATATTAGGCAATGAATAGGCAATGAATTTGATCGAGAAGTTTCTTTTTATTTTATTTTTTAAAAAAAGTTATCTTAATAAAAAAAATTTATTAAATTTTTTTATTTTTTAAAAAAAGTTATCTTAATAAATTTGTTTTTATTAATTTTTTATTAATATTTAATTAATTTAAAATTTATTTTTATAACTTGTTTTAATTTATTTTTAATAAAATTATTATAATTTTTAATAAATATTTTTATGTTTGACTATTGTTTAATTCTATGAGTGTTTTTGTTATTGTATCATTTGAAAATCAAAGTTGTTAAATTTAATGGAATTTATAATTAGATCCTGCAAAACTCGGTTAATTTAATATATTATTATTTTAAAATTAAAATAAAAAATATTATTTTTATTTTTTGAAATTAAATTATATTTTTTACCGATTATTTATGTGTTTTTAGATTTATAAAGTTGATTGGGTCATATTAAAGTAATTTTTATTTGAATTAATTTTAAATTTAGGTTAAACAAGAAATAAAATTAGATTTATTAAATCAATTTTAATAATAATAACAAATAATTTTATATAATTTGAATTTTTTAAACCATTCAATTTTTTTTTTTATCTTGCCCGCAACTTAACGATTCTACATAAGGTGGTAAGTATCACATTACTGATGCCTACCGGATTGTGCTGAATCTGAGGATGGCTACCTGCGCAAACAACTGTTCATTTCAACTTTAAAAAACTAGCTGCCTTGTTTCTGTTACAATCACAATAAGTTTCTTGGCCTCGTAATCTATTCTGTTGCATCGCCAAATGTTTTCATGTTGACCTTATTTTGGCAATATGATGAAAGTGAAAAGTTTAAATTAAACAAAAGTTAAAACATGAAGGATTTTATGTGAGGGAAATTACTTTTCAGTGGAATAACGATTTTCTGCTCTTGCCCTTCCCATTTAAAAAAAAAAAAAACTTAAAACGGGCTGGGGGGAATTTTAG